CTCGCCCTCAGCAGCCCCTGCTTTCAGCTCCTCGCCCTCAGCAGCCCTTCACCCTCAGCTCCTCACCCTCAGCATCCTTACCTTCAGCTCTTCGCCCTCAGCCGCCCATCGCCCTCAGGTCCTGGCCCTCAGCTCTTCATCCTCCACATCCCCTGCCCTCACCAGCCCCTGCCCTCAGCATCCCTGCCTTCAGCCCCTGGCCTCAGCAGCCCTTCACCCTCAGCTCCTCACCCTCAGCCCTCAGCAGCCCCTGCCCTCAGCTCCTCATCCTCCACAGCCCTTCACCCTCAGCTCCTCACCCTCAGCCCTCAGCAGCCCCTTGCCCTCAGGAACTGGAGGAGCACAGCCCTGCCGTGCTCAGGGGGGTTTGTGGGCTCCTTGCTGAGGGGCACCTCTGTTCCCTGCGCTGCCCAGAGCCAACCCCTTCCTCGGGACATACATTTTCCACGGCCTGGGACGTGGATGCCTTTCATTTCCCAGACTCGTGTGGAGTCAGGCTCAGGGGTGCTGAGGGTTCTCTTTCTCCTGCACTCATTTAAATCACAGAATAAACTAACCCAAGCTGGGGGGTGTTTGAAATGTGAGGAGCCTTTTCTTAAAGCCCTTTGAAAATCCCAGTGGGCTGGGTGCCAGTTAGCACTGAGGAGCATCTCCTTTGGAAGCTCGTATTTCATAGAAATACAGACATAAATATTCTAATTACTGCGTCCTGCAGCCTCGGGGGAGGCCTGTGCTGCTGTGGAAATCAAGGATCTGATGCTGGGGGTTATCAGACAGACTGTCCTGCTCTGTTTGCTGACAATTCCAGGTTGCTTTGAGCTGGTGAGTTGTGCAGGAGACCCAGGGAATGCCCTGTGGGAGCTGCACGCTGGACTTGCTGCCCTTCTGCTCCTCCAGGTGTTAATGCAGGTGTTTCATTCACAGGCAGAAGAATCTCTGCGAAATGGCAACTGCTCAGAAGCAAAGGAATTGCACGGTATGGCTGTGGTGTGGGTTTTGGCACAGTCTGTTCTTTAATGGGAAAAACGGGGGGAATTTTGGCTGAAATAGTGCACCCAGGTGATAGTTCTTCACTGGAAAATTTCAGGCTAATTGTGTTATTTTAATTAAGAATAAAGATGCTTAATAGAAAAATAATGTGAGTTTTGTTGTCGTGCACTTGGTAAAAACCAGCTGTGTCCTAAAAACTCGACGAAGTCAGACTTCTCAATTAAGTTAAAATTAAGGCATTGGACGGGTTTGGTGCTGTGGATACAGCTTAATTGATTTCTTCCTCTGATTTTCCAGAGTGCAGTTGTCTTCCCTAAAAAAATAGCCACGGAGCAGCAGTCCCTGATGCTGGTGAAGAGGCTCCTGGCAGTGGCCGTGTCCTGCATCACGTACCTGAGAGGAATCTTCCCTGAAAGTGCCTATGGAACGAGATACATGGATGGTAAGAGGCTGTTTCCAGGAGAACTTGCAAATTCTGGGTGTTTGTAGAGCCATTTTAAAACCATTTCAATGCCTGCAATGGAAATTTCACTAATTCATTAAACTGAATCTTGTTAGTGGTCGTGCTGTAACAATCAAAACTGTGCTCATGCTCAACAGTAATGTTCATTTTAACCTCTTTTTGATATGTGTTTTTAAGGAGTGAACATGACTTTTGAAATTGCACTTTGCCCTAAGTAAATGTGCTTTTTTTATTTTATTTTATTTTATTTTTTGAGATGTCTGTGTCAAAATCCTGAGGGAAGACAAGAACTGCCCTGGCTCCAGCCAGCTGGTGAAATGGTGAGTTTGGGTTCCCTCTGTGCCTGTTCCTTGGCTGTTCCAGGAAAGGCAGATGGCAAAGGGCAATAATTGAACTCCTCTGAGCTCCTGGTTTCTGATGGAATCACGGAATGCTTTGGGTTGGAAGGGACCTTAAAGCTCATCCCCTTGGAAGGGACACCTTCCACTGAGCCAAGTTGCTCACCTGATTCATGAACACGTGTCAGAAGCTGTTTGAAGTGCTGCAATATGTTTTCACTGATAAGTTAATTACTCACAGATTATATTTTTAATTGTTCTCCCGAGAGACCGGTTAAAGGGAAGATTTGGTTGGGAAGATTTGCCCCTCCAAAGGGAGTCCTTGCTTGTCCCACTGCTCCCAGAGAAGGCAGAATAATGCCATAAATACCATTTATTGCCCTGACACAATGAGGCAACCCAAGAATTCCCCTTTTTGCTGCTGTTTCAGCCAGAAGCAGATGGAAATTAGGGCCTCGTGGCCGATGCTGTTTGCTTTGTTGCAGGATGCTGGGGTGCTACGATGCCTTGCAGAAGAAATACGTGAGTCCTGCATCTCCTTTCAGGGGTTGGAAGGGTCAGTGGAGCCCCTCAGGTGCCAGGAACTCTGGGCAGTGTGGGAGCCACGGGAATTTCGGGATAAAATTCCTCATAAACAGGAGGTCAGGGGTTTGGGGGTGTTTGGGGTCCCCTCTTAAACAGAAGAGGAGGAAGTTTTTCTTCCACCAGTTCTCTGTTGGTTCCCAGAAGTGGAGAAACAAATCACTGAGGAGAAAGGGGCTCCAAAATCCAGCTAATATTCTGTTTCTCTCTCTGTTAATGCCTCTGACAGCTCAGGCAGATTGTCCTCGCAGTGAGTATCCCTGAAAAGCAAAGGACACCTTTCTAAAGGTCCTTATCCTGAATTTGGTTTGAAGAGTTCTTGTTCTGATCCCTCTCTTCCCTCTAAAAATGCAGGTCTACACCCAGCCAGAAGATCCTCAGGTAAATCAGCTGCAATGTTTAATTGGGTGACTAATGACAGGAAGGATGTAGTAAAAGGAGTGTACAAGCAGGGATATTTAACATATTAATATAATAATATATTAAATAAATATATTTATCTATTATATATATTTATATATTATATGTATTTATATATTAAATATATATATTTATATATTAAATAAATATATTTATATATTTAATAATATATATTTATATATTCAATAATATATATTCATATATTAAATAAATTAATTAAATAAATGAATAATATAATAATATATTGAACACATATATAAATATATATATTGAACAATATATAAATATATATTAAATAATTAAATTATAACATTTATATATTAAATAAATAAATTAAATTAATGAATAATATAATAATATAGTAAATAAATATATATATTAAAAGATATATATTTATACAATTAAAATTAAATAAACTAAATAAAAATATAATTAAATAATAAATAAATTTATACAGTAAATAATAAAAAATAAAAATAATTAAATGAAATAATTCTAATGAATAACAATATATTAATAATAAATAAATAAAATATAGATACAGTTTGTATGTTAAATATTAAATGATAATTAAATAATAATTAAACGATGAATAATAAATAAATTTAAAATAATAAATATTAAATTGTAGGTAATACAAAATATATTAAATTAATAAATATTTATTTGAATTATATTTAATTAATTAGGCATTTAATATAGACTTTTAATCTATTATATAAAATATAATACATATTACAAATAATATATATTATAATATATTATTTTATATAATTAATATATAATATTAAATAAATATTTAAATAATTTAAGTATATATTAAATAAATATTAACTATATAAATATATATATTTATTAAATATTAATTAAATAATTCAGATTTGTCTGAGAAGGATCATATTAAAGGGGATGTTTTTGTCCCAGAGCAGAAATTCCCATTTCTCAACTCCCTTTTCTCCCCCCTGGACCCATTTGGTGGATTTTGATGGTTTTCCATGGACATCTTTTAAAAAAGGGCACCTTAAAATATCCAACTGGAATCTCAGCAGTCCCAAAATACCTGGAGCCAGTGGGAATTCCAGGGCTGGAACTGCCCCTGGGGGTTCAGGGTGAGCTTGGTGCAAGGAGCCACTTGGAACAGGTGCCACTGCAGAGGGGAACATCCTCGGCCTCCCTGTGCCCGAGGAATCCAGGGAATTGTTGTGGAGAACACAAACCCCCCCCCGGGTGTCCCCGCGGCCGGAACGTTTCCAGGGCGACCGAAAATCAGAATATTTCAGGCTAAAAACTTCAGCTGAGATTTCAGGGTGTTTTATCAGGGCAACTCCTGGAAAACAACCATCATTTCCTTGGCTTTTATTCCATACCCCTGGAATATTCCCCCTGTCTGGATGAGCAGCAGGGCTCTGCCGGGAGGGTGTAACGCCCCTTTGCCCTCGTTTGCAGACGGTCACCGAGTGTTACCACTTCAAGTTCAAGTACACCCCGCACGGGCCGCTCCTGGATTTCGGCAGGTACAGTCCCAGCATTCTCCTGCCTGCTTTTCCAGCCCCCTCTGCCTGGCAAAACTTGGGATTTTACCTGTTTGCTGTTCGAAGTCTGGATCGTGAGGCTGATTCTTTTTTTTATTTCGACTGGCTCAGGCTGGTTAAAAAGCCAGGAATCCTTTTGGCTGATTGCTGCTGCTGAGCTGACACCTGATATCCCTGCCCAGGTTCTTGGAGACATTCCACGTGTGGAGGGTGAAACTCAACACCAGAGTTACTTTTCTCTCTTTCTCTCTCTTTCTCTCTCTTTCCCTCCTCCTTTCTTCCTCCTTTCTTCCTTCTTTCCTCCTTCTTTTCCTCCTTCTTTTCCTTCTTCTTTTTCTCCTTCTTTTTCTCCTTCTTTTCCTTCTTCTTTTCCTTCTTCTTTTCCTTCTTCTTTTTCTCCTTTTCCTCCTCCTTTCCTCCTCCTTTCCTCCTTCTTTCTTCCTTCTTTCCTCCTTCTTTTCCTCCTTCTTTTCCTCCTCCTTTTCCTTCTTTATTTCTTCTTCTTTTCCTTCTTCTCTCCTTCTCTTCTCTTCTCTTCTCTTCTCTTCTCTTCTCTTCTCTTCTCT